TTGCCAGGGGCTACAGGTACAGAAAAATGGGGAGGTGTCTGATCAAGGGGTACCAACTCCCAGCTAGAAGATAAATAAGGTCTGGGGATCTAATGTACAGCATGATGACTATAAATTAATGCTACTGTATTTATATACTGAAAACTATTGAGAGATTTTTAATGACATCACCACACACACATATAGACAAAACTCTAATTACGTCAGGAGACGAAGGTGTTAACTAGCCTCACTGCGGTAATCATTTTGCAATATAAACATGTATCTAATCATCATATGGTACACCTTAAACTTTATATGTTATATGTCAATAATGTCTTGATAAAGCGGGGGAGGGAGAGAAATAGCAATAAAAAATTTGCCTCCTCAAGCTCAAGGTCCAGGTTCTATAGATGGAACTAACTGCTCGTGTGCACTTTCCCAAATTCACCGTGCTTTCCGGCTTTTCATGTTATTTGCATGATTTTCCTTGAGCATCTCCCCCATCCCCAACTGGCTAAACCTTACTCCTGCTCCGTGTCTCGCTCTTCCGTAATTGCATGTGGACTTGTGTGTCCCTCCTGAACTGCAAACTCCTTGAGAGCAGGGACCACACATGGCTCCCAGCCTGTGCTCAGTAGTCATGTGCTCTTGATATTTGTTGAATACACTACACTGTGGGCAGGGTGGGTGGATGGGAGGAGCAGTTAAGCAGGGGAGTTGTAAAGGTCAAGTTTCAGAGGCAGAGTAGTGGTGCCTGAGAGGCCAGGGTGGGGCAGAGCGAGTGGCTGTTGAGGTGGAGGGGAAGTGAAGGTCACAGAGAATGGGAGGGAACTGAGACCCGATATATTAGATGAGCGGCATTTCTGTTGCCCAGAAGTCAGGCAGGCGCGGGGTGGGGTGGGAAGCCAAGCAGTGAGTCAGGCTCCAAAGGCCTTTCACAGCTGGTGCAATTAAGATGGGGCGGTGCCATCCTCCCCTGCCCAAGCTGCAGTGGAGGAGAGGAAGGGAAAAGACAGTGATGGGAGACTGACAAGACCCACAGTGACTCTGGAGAATGGCGGCCGTGCCTTCCAGCCCTGAGATCTCCAGACTCGGCCGGGAGAGCGAGGTGCCTCTGCGAAGGGGGTTTCAAGATGAGAAGGTGGAGGAATTTCTCAGGAAGAGGTTGTGCCTACAAAGAAGTATATTAACAGAATGGGCTTCCCAGAGAGCCCAGGGGAAGGGTGGAGAAGGTGTAAATTCAAGTAGTCAAATAACAGGGCTCCTTCTGCTCTGGCTTCAGAATTCGTTCTTGCTCCAGAAATTTCTGCTTGTCCTGCTGGAATCCTGCTCTGACCCTCACAGCCAAAGAATCAAAACTTGCACATGGGATTATCCACCCCCGTGCCGTCTTTAATGTTGCGGGAAAATGGGTCTTGCCTTGTTTTTGTGGGATGTCAGCACAATCAAAGGCCTCCCTTTGGGACTAAAATAAAAAGAACTCTCAACTTAAAAAAAGGGGTGCGGAAGAACGAAAGCTGTGAGGGTAAAGTTCTTACTGAACAGTTTCAAAATTAGATGAAGCCGGCAATCCGCTCACCCAGGAGGGCCTGGCACCCCCTTCCACGGTTGCTAGAAGAAGCCGGAGCAGCTGCGGAGCCTGCCTGCTCAGGACTTGTCGTCAGCTGACTTCTCTCTGGCATTTCCAACAGCTGCTAATATGCTTGGCGTAAATTGTCCGTCGTTGGGATGGACTTTACCTTTAACTTGCTGCTACTTTAGTTACATTCCAAACTTTTTTTTTTTATTAAGGTTTTTCCTATATGTGCATTAGCAAGATAGTCTCTCTCTCTTTTTTTGTGTGTATGTATGTGGGGGTTGTGTTTGTTGAGGTTTTGATATCAAGACTATAACAAGATTAAGAATAATTGCTACCCTCCCACCCCCTTCCCAGACCAAATGGAGTCACTTATCTGCTTTCAACAAGATCCCCAGGTGATTCCACAGATATTAGAGCTTGAGAAGCTGCTCCAGGCCCTGTCATTTACTGAAAACTACTCCTTCCCTGATCTCTTTGTGAGCAGCCAGGCTCTCCAGCCAGCTCCCCCTTCCTCGAGCTCACTCCCCCTACTGCGCTGGTCCCAACAGTCCTTTCACCCACCGTTCCACGGGCCTTCCGACTCCTGCAGGGTGTCTCCCCCGCCACAGCCTCCCTCTGCCCCCCATTTCCTCACTGCCTCCTCCCTGGCTTGGATTCAGCGGTCCGCCATTATTATTATGACTTCCTTGGGTACACCCTGTGCTTCCTTTGCTATTTCTCTGTGCAACTCCCTAAAAAAAATAACCCTCATTAGATCCAACTTCCCATCTTCCCAGCAACAGGTGGCCGGTGAAAAACACAGAATAAACCTACCGACTGGTCCTGCTCTACTCCTCCTCTTCCCTTCACACTCAGAACTGATGACCTTGCTTCCAGTTTTCCTGGGAAAACAGAAGCCCTCAGAAGGGAATGTCCACCTATTCCAGCACCTCGTCCACCAGCTCCCTTCCCTCTGTCCCTGTGAGTGAAGGTCACTGTACTGGTGTCAAGGCCAGATCCTCCACCATGTGCACGCTTCTTGCTCACTCAAGAACAGCTCTCTAGAAAATGCTCCCTCCGTACCTCCCATCAAATTTTCCTTCACTACTGAATGATCTCCATCAGCACTGAAGCTGTCTGTAACAGCTCCCATGCTAAAAACAAAAACAAACCAAAATAGAATTTAAAAGAAATCTGTTTGACCCCACATTCTCCTCTAGCTACCACCTCATTTCTCTGCTCCTCTTACTTTATGAACAGGTTCTCTGCACTCATGTTCTCTCTTTCGAGAGCCCCATGCTTTCTAGAGCTCTTTCTAGGTCTCATTCTTTCTAGAGACCCCTCCACTGAGGATTTTCCACCCAACTCTGCTGAAGCAGCTCCTACCAAGGCCACTAGTTACTTCGAGGGGGCTGACACCAACACCAACACCAACCTTGCTTGAACTATTGGCCAATATCGGCGGCATTGATCCATCCTCTAACCCTTGGCTTCCAGCACACAAAGCTCTCCTCAGGCTTTTCCTGCCGCCCTGGCTCCTGTGCACAGAAATATTTTGCTGGTTCTTTGTTTTCTCCCTGACTGCTCAAGTGTTGGGGGCTTCCAGCCCATCCTTGCTTGGCTTTGCCCTTTATTTAACACTCATTCCCTAAGTGATCTCATTGAGTCTTAAAATTTTACTTACTCTGGGGACTCTCAAAATTCTCTCTGCAGCCCAGACCCGTCCTCCAAACCCCAGACTTCAATATTCATCCTCTGACGTAAGTGTCTAACATAGGCAGTTCAAAGTTAATGTGCCCCCACGCGCATTCCCGAGTTCCTCTCTTCGTATCTGCTTCTGTTTAAGTCTTCCCCATTTCATCAAATTGTGTTTTCCAGCTGCTTAAGGAAATAAAAACAAAAAAAACCCTTAGAAATCAGCAAAACCCTGTCAGCTTTTTTTTTTAATTTTTAAAAATCGATTTTAGAGAGAAAGGAAGGGGAGAGAGAGAGGAGGAAGGGAGGAAAAGAAGGTAGAGAAGAAGCAGGGCGAGGAGAGAGAAGACATTAATTTGCTGTTCCATTCACTTATGCATTCATTGGTTGACTCTTTTATGTGCCCTGACCAGAGAGGGAACTTGTGACCTTGGCGTGTGGGGGTGATATTCTAACCAACTGAGCTACCTGGCTAGGGCTCAACTCTACCTTTTAAACATGTCTAGAACCCAACCACCTTACTCCTCCCTGCTACCGCCCTGGACCAAGGCTGTCTTCTGTTGACTGAATTATTTCAAAAGTTTTCTAACAGGTCTCCCAGCTGAAAGCCGCATACTCTTCACTCTGGTCTTCAGAGCACAACCTGAGTGATCCTTTTAAAATGTCAGACCACATCCTTTCTCTGCTCAAAACCCTCCAAATATCTTACAACTTCATTCAGAGTGAAAACCAAAGCCTCCTTTCAGCCTACTGGGCCCTGCTCTCTGCCCGTCTCTACCCTCTTCCTTCCCTCAGTGATCTCGCCCTGCTGGGGTCCGTGGCATCCAGCCTCAGGGCCTTGGTCCCTGCTGTTCCTTGTGCCTTTCCATCCACACAGGCCACAGCATGCTCTTTCTTCATGTAGCTGCTACCTGTACAGAAGAGCTATAAATAACAATATCCTGCCTTCTCTCTCTTCCTTGGCCTATGACGGTTTTCTCCATAGCACTGAAAACTATCCAGGGTCACATATGTGCTGGTTTATTGGTTTATTATTTGTCTCAGGAGCAGGGATGGTTTTGTTGACCTCCCCACCACCCAGAACAGTGACTGGCTCACTGTAGATGCTCAAAAATCCCTGTCCAGTTACAAATAAAAAACAAAGCAACAGAAAGAAACAAAAATATACATGTAGGTATTTTTATTTTCCAGGAGGTTCTTCTGTGTGGGCTTTGCGAGGCAGTTTCTCATTCATCCTCACTAGCCTACTGCCCTGTGTTCGCGTGTGTGCAGGAACCCAGGTATAGGGGCAGGAAATAGCCCATGGAGACTAAATGGTGGAGCTGGGGTTTAATCCAGGCCTTTGAATCCTAGTGCTCTGGATCATTCCATCCCTGTCACTCCATCGCGCTCTCTCTGAAGATGCTAAAATGGGAGTGATCTGTCCCGCACAAGAATGACGGATTCCATCTACATGAAGTCGGCTCTTGGTCTTCAGCAGAAATAAAGCTTTGTTAAGAGTTGAGGAAGTGGTCCTGGAAAGTGACCGTAAGATTCCTTCAAGAAGCGTGCTTAGACAGAAGAGGAGAGGTTGAGCACCAATATTTAAGTGACGGATGAAGGAAGAGGAACTCTCCCTGCTCAGCTTCTGCTTTTCTCTGCGTCCCCTCCTTTTTCGGCCTCGGGGGGGACTCCGGCGCCGAGTCCGCCCGGTCGCCAGGAGGCGCCCGAGGCCGAAGGGGGCGTTGCGGCACCACCCGACGTCGCGCCCTCGGCGGCTGCGCAGTGCGCACGTCAAAGCCGGGCTCGGGCCGGGAACGGGGAGCGGCGCGGCCTGGGTGAGACTGAACCTCCGGGAGCCGGGCGAAGGCGAAGGCAAAGGCGGTGCCGGGCCCCGCAGCCGCAGCAGCCGCAGCAGCCGCAGCCCGGACGATCGAGCACAGCAGTACGGCGGCCGCCGCGGGAGCCCCTGGGCCGTCGTCCGCCCGCGCAGCCGCTGCCGCCGCCGCCTCCGGGGTAGCTCGTTGCCGGGAGCAGGAGCAGGCGGAAGACAACGGAGGGGCCGAGCGCCCGAGCCGCGCCGCGGGGACCGAGTGAGCAGCCCGAGGCGGCGGAGGCGGCTGAGGACGGGGACGGCGACGATTCGGAGGCGGAGAGGAAGCCGCCCGGCCCAGCCCCGTGAGTGACCCCCAGCCCTGCCCTGCTCGCGGCGCGGACGCCGGCCCGGCTTCCGCCTGCCCTGCCCCGGCCCGTCACCGGCCCCGGGGCTGCCTCCATTTTCTCGGGCGGCTGCGGCAGTCCGGCCCCCTCGCTGAACCTTCCCCTTTGGCCCTCGCCGGCGCCGCGCCCAGGGGCCTGCGGCGGGGTCGGAGCGCCCCGGGCTCGCCTGCCACCCTTCCGCGGTTCCCTGGCCGGTCTGGCGGAGTGGGGGCGTCCCCGGCCGTAGTCCGGAGGGCAGGGAAGTGCGGCCCTAGCCAGCTGTCACTCCCACCAAACACAGGCCCCCAGTAAACTTTCTGTGATCCGGGGGCAGGTAGCATCTCCGCGATGTCCCTGTCGAGAAAATGCCTAACTGCTTTCTGGTTAGGAATTGCGAGATCGGAGCGTTCCCGAGTTCTCTTGAACCAGCCTGGGAGCTGGCTTCGTGCAGGCGCCCAGGTCGTCCGCACCGGAGGGATTCAGAGGTGAACCCGGGCCCGCGGTCTCCTCCCGCGATGAGCTTGCGCGCTGGCGTGGGTGATAAGACCAGTGCACAGATAACACGATACCAGGAAGGAAGAGATAAAAGTCCTGTGAAAGAACTGCAAGGTGCTAGGAAGGAACCCAGGGAAGACCGGACCGATCCATCACTTCCGCCTGCCCGAAAATCTGGAAGACTTCCTGGGCGAGGCGGTGCCTTAGGGGGGTCTGGAAGGCCTGAAAGGATTTGGGAGTGGAGGGTTGCAGAAGAGGCAGACTGTACTTGGAGGGACAGCAAAGCTAGAGGACAAAGGTAAAAAGGCGTAGTCTAGAAGTAGTGGGCAATCCATTTTGTTCCCTAGAACCTCGGTGGGAAGTGGGGGTGGGCTAAAGAGGTGTTTGGGGGCCAGATCCCTAAATGCTGGAGAAGAGCTGTTTGAGTGGCAATCTAAAGGAAACTTAAGAGCTCATTTCTCAGTGACTCATGAGCCCGGAAATGTAAGCTAGGGGATATTACAGGCGCTTTTGTCAGAGAAAGGCGAGGAGGCCCAGTAAAGAGTTGACATTCTGTACCTTTATTATAATGCAGTTTGAGATCGATTTTGACATCTTTCCAGATATTCAAATAAAAAGGTCCAGGCTAAGCAAAGTATCTTTTGCAAAAAGCTTCATTAGATGTCAGACTCTTAAGAGATAATGGAAATATGTGTTTAAGCTCATCTCCACATAAGGTGTTTCTGTTGGTGCAGTTCACTAAAATGCGTCAGACTTCTTGCATTGTGTGTTAGGCATCTGCACTTTAGAATTACCGAGCTGAATATAATTTCTTTGAGGTGACATTTATGTAAAGCAGTCTAAATTGATTATTTAAAAAAGTCGAAATATTACCTATATTCTGGGGTAGAAAGTTGGACACAGAACCTTTTTATAGGAAGGTAAATTTTTTTTTAATTATGAAAATCTATATAGGAGAGCCAGAAGCAAAAAGCATTAGTTTTACTTTGTGTATTTTTAAAAAATTACCAGCAAGTAATTATCTGCATTTGAAGTCTAGAATCTATAGAAGCCACTTAGAGCCCGTGTTAGTTTTGAAAGCACTTATTTGTTGTTTGTTTATATGACAGGTGAATGTCAACTTTTTTTACTTTAAAAAAGTTGTAAGATGCAAGAAGTACTGGAAAATTTTTAAAAATTATTTTCTGTAATCTTACTATTTACATATGGTTACTGTTAACACTTTAGCACATGCCCTTTTCATCCTTTTATTTTTTCTTTACATAATGAAATAAACTACATATATAACACTTTTATGAAGCTTTTTTGTCATTAAGTGTCTTCATATAAAAATATTTTTACCCAAGTAAAGGACGTCTTCTTAAATGTATTTTTTTCTTCTGACAAGATTGCGTTACTTATGTCTGATAAAATGCAATCGTTATGCATTTTATTTAATAACTGCTCCTGTGGACAGAATTTTTTCCAAAGGTTTCTTGAAGTGTATTTATTAACCTCTCTGCAATTCAGATCCTATTGTTTGTGGAATAAATTTTACTTGGGTTGCATCTGTCGTCAGGTATGGAAGAGATCACACATTTCTGCAATATGAGAAGGTGTGCTTTTTTTAAAGGCATTATAAAAAGATTACTTTCATAGCTGGTATATCTCTTATATAGTGTAATGCACCTCCCATTTCTACCCCTCCCCTCCACACACAAAAATAGGATTTATACTGGGGCCATCCACATAGGCTAACTCGTTTTGATCATGACATTACAAAGGTTCAGGCCGGATGCATTTAGTTTTCTATTGGCATTTCTTTAGTAAATATAGGATTTGACAGGGAATAATTTACTGATAAAAACAAAAGGGACTTGTTTTATTTCACGGCAGACCACTTTAGTTCATTAACATTTAGACTGCAGATTCTTGTTTAAACCAGTTTTTCCCCCATGTGCTTTACATTCTAAAATGTATTACTGAGGTCCCTGTTTCTGTTTCTAAAGGTATATAAAGTGAGATGCTGAGCTAGATCATGTAAATTTTCATAAAGTCAATATAAAAGAATAGCTGAGAAAGTTCAGTTTAAATACGGGGTTTGGTTTTATAATTTGGTTTTATTTGAATCTTTATTTGGATATTGCAAATATGTATGCCACAAGGCATCCTTTATTACTTTGAATATTTACTAAAGTTTTTTTCTTTTGATCCTCTTTTGTAGATTATTGATTTCTGTTAATTACTGCCTTACTTTTCCAAGAGCCTTTTTTCCAGGAGGGGTTGATCTCTGATCATTCAGTTTCACCATCTGCCATAAATCCCCTCACCTGACCTCCACAGTATGCAAAAATAAAATTCAGTATAGGGTAAAATTTCGTTTAAGGTAGTGTGTTCTGGTTACATTTCTGGTGGTGTTTCTATTTTAAAAATCCATTTTCCTCTTTTCTGTGGTTCCTTTTAATTAGGAATTTGATTTTATGAATGTCATCTGGTGTTACAGAAATAGGAGTATGATAGGTGGATTAGCATGGATTATAGCAAAATGTTGGTAGAACTTTGTATGAAAAGGTTGTGGGAAAGACGATCAAATCTCTGAACCTCTGACTTAGATTGCTTGTGACTTGTTTTGTTAATAATGCAGGTGTAAAGATGCTGTGTTTGTGTGAATGCATATCAAGCCAGGTAGCCTGAAAATTGTGTAACAATTCACAGTTATCAGTCTGCGTTTTCGGTTTTATTGGAGAGAGGGCTGGTGTCGGACCCTTCTCTAATTAAAGAAGGAATTGAGCCGTAGGAGAGTTCTTTCTCGGGGTGTCCCACCGCTCTAATGACTGTCCCACTGGCCCCTAATCGTTGCCTCTGTCCGTGTGCAGTCTGGGGGCAGGGCAAACTGAGGGAGGAAATACCTCTACCACCATTGTTGTAGGGTATACATGTGTGTGCACCGTCCTCCAGTGTGCTGTTTCTACATCCCTGAGCCCCACTGTGCTTTTAACTTTTTTTTGCTAGAGATAGAAGAGATGTGATGAAGGCAGAATTGTGGTTTGTTGGCAACTGTGATGTTAAGCTGGCAGAGGAAGAAGGAATGGCATTCAGAGAATTGCAAGAGGTCAGTCAGGTGTGAAGTGGGCCTCAAAGAGGGAGGTAGATCCTTCCTTGGCCATTTATGTTGGCAGTGTCTAGCACATACCTGTTTGTATAATCCTTAGTACATTGTGTCCAACTTGTGTTAAGAGTCTTAAGTGCAGGTTTGTTTTTGCTTGTTTAATGTATGTATGCATTTTCATATGCATAGTTACAAAGATGAGAAAATCTAGTTATCCAATGTTTAGTGACAGTCTGGTTTTATGATAATTATTCCTTGGGAACATTACCGAGCAGATAACTTGTTGATGACCAAGGAAATAGAATGTTATATAATGTTTAACTTCACAACACTTTCTGTTGATAAAATGTTTGTCGGAGAAACAGCATATACATTTTATGGCTTGATATTATAAAAATTTATTTTTATTTTATGTGCCCCAGGCATAAAACACTGGCCAGCAACAGAGGCATGAACTGAGGACTGTATATCCGCTTTGCCCCTTACTAACATAACAGCAGGGCCACCAATCAGGTGTCTCCTCGCCCATTGCTGGGGGTGGGGGACGGGTGGTGGAGGCTTGATCTTGATTAAGTGGCTACTTTATAATTTTGTCTGATGAACGGTAGCTTGCCCTTTTCCAGGGCACTCTTAACACGTTAGTCCCTGCTCCCTCCCGCCACCTTAGAGTACATGTCAGCTGTATTTAGTCACAAGGAAGGAAGAGCATGAACAGATTTTTGTTTACGTGTCTATAGTTAAGACCCACTTTGGGATTTATAGAATTCTGAGGGTCAGTGGTAAAACACACAGGTGTGACCAGACCCCTGGATTGCGGAACCCTCAACCGTGCTTTAGGCTCTGTGACTTCAGCGAGTCCCTTCACTTCTCTCTAGCTTCGGTTCCTTGGATGGGGGTAATGTAGACCCTATCTGCGAAGATTGTAGGGGGTTTAAATGAGTTACTACATCTAAAGTAACATGTTTACTTTACAACATGTTACTTTATCTGCTTACAACAGGGCCAGGCACATACCAAGTGCAGGACATAGTAAGTTCTGTGATGGTGCTGGTGCTTGGCTGTTCAGGTGGAAGAAACCTGAGAACTTTAGAAACCCTCCAGTAGAATGGTTCTTTCTGCAGTTAGGAACACTGAGGCCTCCTGTAACTCGAGCAGCCTGCACCTTTGAGCTGTAAGTGGTGGCGCTTTCTGCGAAGTGGGATCGCTGGCTTAGGCTTGTGCAGCTTAGTAGCCACAGGACTGCTCTATACAGAGCCTCGTTCTCCTCATTCTTTAGTCCAGTGGTCTTGAAAGAAATTGTTTTATACTTTGTGCAGTGATGTCTTCTTTGAACCTTTTCACTAACATTTACAAAGATATTCACATACTAAATGTTCCTTTGTCAAGAAACTCTTAT